CTATATCAGATAATACTAGGATTGAGAAAAAGCAAGTGTTACAACATCCTGACTCAAAAGATCCAGCTACCATCAAATAACCACTCTGCCAGGTACGAGGAACAATGCTTTAATTTTTCTTCACGAAAGCCGCACAAAGTTAGCACTAGGGATCAGTTCTCCCAAGTATGCTTTTATACAATCCCTTTCACCACACCCAAACCACACCCAATCCGTCACCCATACGTCACCCCCCCGTGTTCCTTCCCCCACCCTGTTCCCTACAAGCTACCATCCGGTTTAACGCTTCCAGGTGTTTCCTCTGATCAGCTGCTGTCCTCAGTTTTGACGCTCTGCTTTGGATCAGTGTCCACGCATGCTCGGATAGCGAGTTGGGCTGAAAGGCCCTTCTGTGCATGCGTGGCTTTTCCCTACACCGTTCTAGCCGCTTATGATTGTGTCCGTGATCTTGCCTCACTGCGCATGCGTGGCAAATGGGACTTTCATTCTTATATACTTTGTTGATAAATACACCAGTTGCCCTACAGTAAATGGTTTGACTGGTCGTCATTTTTTATCCGCTTGCTCTTTCATTTTTTCACTGGTCCTTGTTAATGCTTTCTTTACAGTATTCCATACTCACTAATTTTCTGTGTCCAATTCTTGGGTAAGCATGGATGTGACTCAAATTGTTGACATTCAGGTATGGGAACAAAATCTCTACCAGATACCACACAGAATGGGGCATAACCAGTGCTACTGTGTACCGCATTATGGTAGGCAACCTCTGCAAATACAAGTAGATCGACCCAATCGTTTTGTTGATAAGACACATAGCTCTGTAAAAAAAAAAAATTAGAAACTACTGGAACTTGCAGATCAAACTTGATATAACATTTTGGCTGTTATACCAATATGACTTGAGCCTTTGAAGAACATCTAAAGAACTTTTCTATTTAAAATTTTTGAATGTGTTGGTTCTGAACACGCTAGTTTTTTTTTTTAAAAAAAAATACTCGGTTTGTAACTATTTACATTCTCAGACTTTACCTTAATAATTCTTAGGTCCTTGGTTAGGACTTGAATTATTAAGTTTCCACCAATCATAGACTGTGAATTTAATCGTAGATGTTATCATCATCACCATCATCATCATCATCATCATCAATCATCTTCATCATTTAGTATTATTATTAATGTGGACATATGCAGCTGTGCTGCTTTTAATATATTTGCAATTTTTTATTTTAAAACCTGCATGGTAAAATTGCTGTGTAGATACCTATTAAATACTTTGTTTGCGTGCGAATGATGAAGACATATGGCGATGATGAACAAACACTTTATTCTCCTTCTACAACAACCAAGCAACTGCAAAAGGCACACAGGCCTTTTTATATGGCCAGAAGCCCGGACACTGTCAACCAATAGGAACAGAGCGTTTTCGCGTCTTGCGCATGTCTGGTCCCGGGCAGCTTTTGGAATGCCTGGGACCAATGCAACACCCTGAGCCTGCTTTTACAGGCTCAGGACACAACACCCCTCCCCCCTAGATGGAACATACTTCGCGTATGCACAGGTACGTTGTGCACTGGGAAGCAATGACGGATAACTTCGGCTGGAAGTGTTCCTTTAACATTTTCTTCAAGTCAGTATATATTACTGACTCCAGAGGTGCAGGGGCCACCAGATTTTCTGCAATGTCAAAAGCTTCTTGTCCACAGACACACAAAAGAGTTGCTGCCTTCAGGCCGTCTTCTCTTATCTGATTTACTCTGAAGTAGTTCTCCACCCGTGCTACGTAGGAATTCCATCTCTCTGGGTGGGAAACATTGAAATCAGACAAGCGGCCAATCTTAGACATCATAAACTTTACGAACTTCACCAATTGCTTCCTCTGCAAGCTGCTGTTTGGGGAAAGGGTCCTTTAGTTGAGCTCACCCTCCAGCGATGCTGTACTGGCAGGCTGTGACGCTGATTCAGACGCTGTCTTCCCCTCTTCAGGACTTCCTGTGTAAGTCCTTAAATCTTTTATTTCAGCTTGCAAATAATCCCACCTTCATCGCCAGTGTTAAATACTTCGTTTGCGTGCAAATGATGAAGACACATGGCGATGATGAACAAACACTTTATTCTCCTTCTACAACAACCAAGCAACTGCAAAAGGCACGCAGGCCTTTTTATATGGCCAGAAGCCTGGACAGTGTCAACCAATAGGAACAGAGCATTTTCGCGCCTTGCGCATGCGCACAAGGCTGGCGCAGCTCTGTCTGGTCCTGGGCAGCTTTTGGAATGCCCAGGACCAATGCAACGTCCCAAGCCTGCTTTTGCAGGCTCAGGACACAACAATACCTATGTAGAGTTGTACAGTATTTAGATCCAGCATGGGCATTTATGCAAGTCCTGATGATAACTTCTTAAAGAGGATGTGTTGTTTCCTGGTTTTCAATGTTACCTGCCCAGGCTTGGGAAAATATATGATGGAATTAAGGAAGCAGTAACATTGATATATTAAAGTGCTGGCTTAATTGGTATTACTATACCTAGACATTTGGCTTCATTTATTCAATTTATTGGAAAACATTAAAAAAAAGAAATAAAGTATATTTGGAAATGAAATGTGATAATAATTGGAAGATTGACCTTTTTAAAAACACATACACACTGAAGAATTAATTTGTATTAGGAATAGTTTGCCAGTCCACTTTTTCTACATGAAGGCTGAACCCTCTGTGTTGTTGAGTAAGAAAAACAATTTTAAATTTTGCAAAGTTTGCTTTCACAGCTTGTGAAACTTGAATGTTGCTGGCAGCAAAATAGTGCAAATAGGTCTACAGATCAATCTTGTATATTTTTACTCTGTATATTCTACCTTGTAGTTCTAATTTTTAGGTTTTATTTAATGGCTTTTATTCAGTCTGGGTCGCTGAATAAAGATCATCTACTCATTTCCCATTACATTTTTCCTATTGCCTCTAGCATATCTGAATCTGAATTGTAGATTGGTCTTTAAAATTGAGCAACATCATGATTTGTATCTATTTAAAGAATTGTGCACATGGAGTTTTTCCTGTGCCCTGATGCTGGTTTGATTCCAAGCAGCTCCTAAGTCAAACTTCTTTATCTTTCATGCAGGTGGAGATGAAAAATGTATTGTTTCTCCCTATTGGTTGATGTAAGAAAAAAATATGTTTCCTTTAAAAAGCACTAGAACCTCAAATGTGAGCTTTAAGCATCAGTTTTTCTCTTTTCAGAGTTCAAGTGTAGCATCCACTTTTTCACAATGGCCAATCAGATATTTCTGAGGGCTCCAATAAGTATATTTATCATCGGTGACTCTTAAAATGACAAAGAAACATTATCAAATAAATAAAACCCTGTTGTTGCCTATCAGCAGGGTTCACTACAATACTACCTTAGGCTATGAAGGCTTTATTTAGCTGTTATGGCTAATAGCCACAGATAGCCATATCTTTGATGATTTTTGTCATCTCCTTTTAAAACTACCTTGTGGCATGAAAGACTTAAAATATGCCATATGTGAAGATTTTCTTGCTTCTGCTAGCTGCCTAATTCTTTAGGCAATCATTTTCAGTGATTGGCTAGTTCTAGTAAGAAGCAGAGATAAAGTTTCTTCCCATTCTCTTTTCACCAACTGATATAGAAGTCCACACATTTCTGTTATGCTTTGGTTTGATAATCGTTTTCCATCTAAGCAAAAGTCTTAAGTACTTGAACATTTTTCCAAAAGAAATGAGGGTGAGAAAGGAAGGGGCTCAAACACATTGGTTGTCCTGCTTTCCATTGTCTGCACCTTGTCCAGTGCCAGAATATTCTTTTGAAAATAAGCAACCAAAATTTGGGGAAGAGTTAACTTCAAAAACATAATCCTCCCTATGCACACTTCAAGGCAGAGCTAAGAAAGGCTAAGTGAGCCCATCAGCATCCAGGAACATTGGAACACTTCTCATATTTCCAGTCCAGCATCAGACTGAAAAATCTGCAATATAGGATCCATATTATGATGTTTCTCGTATTCTGAAATTCCCATCAACATGAACAGTTATATGATACTAGAAACTTTTAAATTGCATGGAATTCTAGGGATGTAGTAATGCTCTTTTACTATGATGTTGCCATGGATGTCAAATTAAGGGATGAGCTGTAAGAGAAGAAAAGAGTATATGTGCCCTCCCCTAATAAATAAAATGGAATTGTCAGCCATAACAAACTTTGTTCATCTGTGTATGATTCTGTTTGATGAACAAAAGGATATCTGAATTCTATGTATCTGGAATTAAAATAGGCTATTATTTCAGGACATAACACACTGAATTTGCAGGATCATTTGCAGAAATTTGTCTTTGCACTGCTTCTATACAGAGTTGTGTTAACAGGTAATTATATGACAGCATAAGTGCAGTGGCATTGTTCCAAACACCCACTTTTTTTATGATCTGTGACAAAAAGAGCTATAAACCCCTTGGCACATTGTACATTCCTTGTTAGATTGGCTTCCTCCTCTTCTCCTACTCCAGAGTTCATTTCTACCGAGTATTGTTTTAATTGCCCATTATGTGATCTTTGTTCATCCCTGACAATTGATGCTTTCTCTACGGGTAGATTAGTTGCACAGCCTGCTCTGATGGTGGGAACCCAGAAGTGGTACTATAAATTAAAACAATGATCTAATTACTGAACACAAAACAGGGTTGGCACCCTATTAACAATATGCAGTTTAGAGTGTTTAGGGCTGCAATAAGCCAATAAATAAAACTTGTTTTCTCCCTTGTTCTGAAAGCAGCCGGTGTAGCAACCATTGATATAGCTCAGCTTCAGCTTGGGGATTGTGACAAGCCGTTCTGCTGTGCTGTAAGATTTCTTTGCCAACCCCCCCCTCCCCATCACCTCAGAGAGCTGCACTTTTTTTACATCAGGTCCCTGGAAGTACCTCCTCCGCTACCTGAAAAGCACAGCACTAAAGGGGTTAAAAAAGCTTCTCTGAAATATGCAGGGAGGAAATCAGACTGAATTGGGGAGGAGAATTACTTGTACAGCACACGCCTTGTCAGTAAGTACGACTCTCAGCTCTCCGATGAAAGGAGACAGTCGGAAGGCAGTGGGCAGATCACTGGCCACTGACCAAACCAGCATCCCTTGAGTTGACTCTGGATAGGGAGGCACTGCAATGGCACCGGTAGGCTAGTGGTGTCCTGGGATATGTGACCCTGTTGCTGTGATTCTGCCATCCCACTGTCGTCTTTGCTAATCACTCAGAGAGCAGGCAAAGGGAGATGCAGTTTGGAAATGACTGCTGCTAAGCAGGAAACCCAGTGTCAGACGGCTGCACGAATTGTCACTGACCTATGTCGCCAGAAGAGTCTGCCCCAGCTGGACCTGGAAACCTGCAAAGAATTTCTCCTCTTTCCCGATCTGAATGGCCCAGAGCCAGGTACAGTACCCCCTGTTCCACAGGGAAGGACTTTTATCTCTTTGACTTGCATTCAGTTATAATCTGGGAGAAGTTTTCCTCCCCCACCCCAATAACGTGAGCCTTATGCCACTGTCCTGTTTGCCACTTTATGCCAGCCATTTGTCTCCAAAAGCAGGCAGGTGCTGTTTCTTGCAGAGATGTATTACCAGGGAGTCGGAAGAGACCTGTTGAAAGCAAGTTCTCTAAGTAAGAGAGGAGGGGAAAGGGAGAGTATGTGATATGAGCAGGATTTCAAATGGTCATGTTGGGGAAATAAACATTCTTTCTGGCAGCAAAGCTGCACCATAACAAACAAAAAGCAAGCAAGCAAGCAAAACACCTTTGACCTTTGTTGCCAAGAATAAAGTAATATTAAAAAAAACTGGAGTAGGATGGGAAAATAGATATAGATATAGCGCTAGCCTGCTGAAAAATGAGAAGAAAAGAGTAAATTTTTAAAATGTACATCTCAGAAAAACATAATCGATCAATGATTCGACTCCTCCATGATTAAATAAGAAAAAAATAATAATTTACCCCTTAAACTGAACTAAGAAGAAGGTGTTGTGGCATTGCTTCTAAAAACTAATTAACACCAAAGTTTTAAACTGGGAGATTGGAGCTGAGTTGACTTTCCAAACATGATGGCAAGTTAAAACAATCAAAGCTTTCTTTTTCTTCTCATGCCAGACTGTCGTATTCTTAACATGGTTGTTCCCCAGATATAGAAACCTTCTTATTAAGATAGCTTTAAAGTTACATGGAATGACATAGGAGGCTATATCTATTAAAAGCTATTAGCCATGATAGCTAAAGAATATTTTAGAAGATAGCTATATTTTTCATTCCTGGAGTATTTAGACAAACCATGAAAGCTAATATCTTCATAGCAGATTCTGTTTATGATGTTTCCCGAAGGAATCTAACTACTACTACAGTCTGAATCAGTTAACTTCATCTGGAAGAGCTGCCTTCAGTTCTTGAAGCAACATTTTCCTTTCTTGTCTTGAAAATTGTATATAAAAGTGATTACTAGTGCCCATTTACCCCATGAAATTTCAGTACCATTTACAGCTATAGCTGGAAGGGTTTAGCCTGTTGAAGTATTTGTTGTCACAGCACTGGCACATAGATCTGAATCAGAATTTCTTGTTAAAATTGCCTTTGATGTGCCCTTAGGAAAAATTGGTTTCAAAATAAGCTGTTATAGACTGGAGGGCAACAAGGCTGATTTCATGAACTGGAAATCTTTATTCCACTTTATGGTTTATTCTATTTTTCCTCAACAAATTGGTCCTAGCTTTTACTAGACACAAGTTCCTATGATTTCAGGAATGAAGATTAATTTCTTAGACAGGGGTGCTCACACCTTTTTCAGGCTCCAGGTATTCAGGATCACTTTAACTATATTTTATTCTCTAGTGATATATTTGTAGTTCACTGATACTGGTTTTTTTCTGTGTCATACTATGTAAAGTAATAACAAATGTGAATTTGGCATTCAAAACACTCATGCCATGGTATAAAATAAAAGACATTTCTGTAACAAGTGTTTTCTGAACAAATTTTCCACACTAAAGATTTTCTAGAAAAAGTTCATAAACTTTTTATTTCAGAACTGCTCACCTAATCCCATTTTTTTCAACATAATTTCAAGCCAATTGCTCAATAGGATAGATAGATGTGTGATTTCAGCAGGAATAATATGATTGCTGAGGTTTATACTGGCGATAGCTTTTGCTGTATAGCCAGCATTCATTCTGCTGTTCCCAGCATATCACAAACTACCTTGATTTTAATGATGATTTCTAAGAATATCAACCTGTCCTTGAATACTGATATCTGAGCTCTTCCATGTACTAAGTCTATACCACTTCTATAGTATATTCTGGAGAAGAGTCCTTTATATCTCAAAGAATTATAAACTGAACCAAGATGAATTAGCCTAGTGCTCATGAACAAAAACATCAAATCTGTGTTATTGCAGAATATAGAAGGATAGAAGTCTCAATAAGTTGGGGAGGAGTCAGTTCTGCTATGAAAAAATGCTTGTGTCATGTATAATTTATCTGAAAATGAAACTTGTGAAAGCTGGGTGGTATGGAGACCTTCACAGAATATTAAAAGTAATTTACTTTCCTTGGAGAAATCAGGGATTTGCACAACAAATTACCTCATATTTTTAGAGTCCAGTTCAGTTATCCCTGCTATATTCCCAGTGGCATCATTGGAGAATGATAAGGTTTCTATACTTTTTTACATTTCTGTAAGCTTATGAACTCCTTCTAACAGAATTTGCCTCAACTCCTTGCCTTCATTCAAACCTTACCTGAATTGCAGCAATATTCTCTGGTGCCTGGATTGTTGAAACGGTATCAGCCTAATCTCCAGAGATACTAAGGTATTTTATGTTAATGCATAATGCTAGGGATTAAGACCACTGATTGAATCAGAGAGACTTAAACCTTACACTCTCCATGCTCTATGGTTCAGTATTCAGTATACCTGCCCAGCACTATAAATAATAAGAATAATAACTGACTTTAGAATTCAAATACATAATAACAACCCAGACTTAACAATTGTCGATAACAAACCAAAAAAGTTTGGATTGTGGGTGCGGCAGTACTTGGAGACAGCAGAACAGAAAGAAAGAACTGGAGAAGATAACAAAATACAAAGACCTGAAAACAGAAACAGAACAACTGTGACGAAAGAAAACAAAGATAGTACAATAGTAATAGATGCCTTTGGTGCAATCCCAAAACAACTGGAGCATCACTTGAACACCATTGGCATTGACAAATTCACCATCAGTCAATTGCAAAAAAAACAGCTTTAATGAGAACAGCTTACTTTCTGCAATGGTATCTTTAATACCATCAAACATACTAGGATCTGCGTATTCTAGGTCCTTGGAAAGGACTTGATAGGTGGACAAAAATGCCAAAGCCAGTCTGAACATCTGTCTGATTGTGTGATGGACTATAATAAAAAGAAGCAGGAATTACATGGCTCACAGAAATATTTATTTTAAAATTTATTTTTAAGACCCCTGACTCCTAAATGACTCTGGGTGACTTGAAACTCTGAAGGAGATGAGCAATTCAAAAATAAATACATCAACAAAAACACCAACTAATAGAAAAAATGCAACTTGTAACAGAGTAAGTGTGAGTTGCACAAGATGACATTATTTAATTGACAGAAACCAAGCCCAGTATACTGGGTTGAACTTGATGGGCAGAAGCAACTGGAAATAAGTAGGGTTCAACAATTAATTACTGAAGTTATTCTCTCATCCATTAAAATTACATCCATCTTCTAATCCTTGTTATATATTCAGCATATAAACTGAATAAAGAAAGAGAAAGTATACAGTTTGTCTCACTCCTTTGCCAACCTAGAACCAATCACTTTCACCATGTTCCATCTAAACTGTGGTTTTCCATTTTGTGTATAGTTTTTGAATAAGGACAATAAGATGTTCTGGGATTTCCATTTTCCTAAGTACTTTCCTCAGCTTGATATGGTTGACATAATCAAAGACTTTTCTATGATCAATGTAGCGCAAATTGATTTCTTTTGGGTGTTCTTTGGCTTTCTTAATTACCAGTATGCATTAGTGATAATGTTGTTTTGTCCTCCACATTTTCCGATATCAGTTTGAATGACCTGGATGATTAAAATCTCCATAGACATTTGACTTCCATATGGGATTCTAATCTGCATTGGGTGCTCTTAAGGTGTATTTTGTTAGTGTGCAAAATCAAGGATATTGCACATTCTGTTGATTTTCCTTTCTTTAATATAAGCATTCAGATTGCCTCTTCCAGTCTATTGGCCATTGTAGTGCTTTCCAGATTTGTTGCTGTAGTTTGGCTGCAACCTTTACTTTTTCTTCTTCTATTGCTTTCTATGGATATTCCATCACATCCTGTAGTTCCAATTTGGTAATGACCATAATGTTGATCTAACTTTATCTTCTATTGTAAATGGGAATACTTGTTTAACTTGGTAATTCAAAATTAGAATCTTTTTCTGAGCTTGGAAATCTTTTGAAAGACTTTCCTTGTTCCATATCTGTTTTAATCACTGATGTCTTCACAAGTGTCACTTTAATACTATACTGATTTTTGTCTCTTCTAACAGCTCTCTGGAATTCTTTATTAAACTTGCTTATACCTTTGTCTTTCTTTCATCTTGCATTTTCTTCCTTTTTGGGGCAATTTATAATTTGTTCTGTCATCCAGTTTGCTTTAATCTGTTTGTTTGGTTTTTTTGGTTTGGTAATACCTTTTCACATTAATGCAACACTTTTCTGATTTCATTCCAAGTTATTCTAGTTCCCTGTTAAGGAATTCAATATGATTCCTGATATTCTCCTTGAAAATGGTGGGCATATGGTCATGATCATACTGTGGAAACTAGTGGCTTTGTTCTTCTGCTTTAGCTTGAGTTGTCTCAAATACGAACAGTTTGTAATCTATTCTACAGTCAATCCTTACTCACATCTTTGCTGTTAAATCCAAATTCTTCCACCTCCTTATACAATAATTTAATCAATTTGATTCCTGCATATTCCATTGCAGGAGTCATTGATGTGTATTGGTTTTGTTGTTTGAATACTTTGTTAGCAGTGAAAAGACACTGGACTGGCAAAAACTGATGTCCTTCTCTTGGTGAATTTTTGCTTCCTAGACCATACAGTTCAATTATGGACTGTAACTATTCATTCTTAATATTTCCAATCTTGGTATTCCAATCTTTGATCACAAGTAGCACATTTTGGTGCATGTTCTGTCAACTGCAGACTGAGCTTGACCATAAAACTTGGCAGCCCCCTCATCATCTGTATAAGTGGTTGGCGTGTAAACTTGAAAAATTGTCATATTAAAGACTTCAAGATTGTGAAGACTTATTAAAATTATATAGGCAGTGATTGCACTGTACATAAGTACTGTCACTGCTGTATGCTT